GACGCGGCCGGGTCAGCCCCGTCCCTCACTGCTGAAAAAAGCCCTTCATTTTCCGGTCAGCGGCAGCGCCAGGCTCGCTCTTCTCACTCCTCTGTTGTTTTCTTTTTATTTTCTTCCTTTTCCCAAAGGTTTTTCCTACTTCAGCAAGCTGCAGCCTGCCCTTTCCAGCTCCGAACAGCCTCAGTCCTCTCAACTTCCCTGGAGCCGCCTCTCCGAAGCCTCTCCTTCAAGCCCGCAGGTGTCTGCCCCGGCCCGGTGTCTTCCTGGAACCACCAGCAGATCCGCACAAAGGCGCGTGGCAATGAGTATCAGCCAAACAACCGCAAGCGCAAACGGACCCACGGCTGGATCAAGCGCATCAGCACGCCGGGCGGCATCGAGGTCATCCTCCGGCGCATGCTGAAGGGCAGGAAGTCTCTCAGCCACTGAGGGCTCTGCCTGCGCCATCGGTTTGGCATGGGGTCAGCCAGAATCGAGCCCTAGAGCTGCCGCAGCTTTGGAGTGACCTGGCCTGAGCGTTCCATGCCAAGGGAGACCATGCCGAGCAACAGCGGCCGACTGTCCTGCTCGCATCGGGAGCGTGTGAGGGATCGCGCTGGCTTGAGGGCGGCCTCCGAGGGCTTTGTTCAACGGCTGCTTTCTAAATTGTAAAGTTCTCACCTCTTTGTGTGTCTGATTCAAAGATAAACTTGTGAAAACACAAGCTGTCGTTAAAGCCCCGCGACTTGTGTCGAACCAAGTAGTTAGCGATAGGACAAGAGGAAATGGGCTCAAGATGCGTCAGTGGAGGTTTAGGTTGGATATTGGGAGAAATGTCTTCACAGAAAGAGTGGTCAAGCACTGGCACAGGCTGCCCAGAGAGGTGGGGGAGTCCCCATCCCTGGAGGTGTTCAAAAAACGGGCAGTGGTGGCACTTTGGGCCAGGGTTTAGTGGGCATGGTGGTGTTGGGTTGATGGTTGGGCTGATGATCTTAGAGGTCCTTTCCAACCTTAATGATTCCTAGTTTTTACTTTAATTAAAAATAATCCAGCCACCAAGCCAGGAAACATGAAATTAATACTCTCCCCTTAATTAGTTTGATGGTGGATTTGGCAGTGTGAGGTTAATGGTTGGACTGGATGATCTTAAAGGTCTTTTCCAACCTAAATGATTCGATGATTCTGTGAACTTCATGCACTAATTGTTAATGCAAAACTAACCGGGGGCGGGGGGCAGAAGGAAAACTGGCTTGTTCATGGGGTCACAGCAGCCAGGGAGCCTTCGGAAGGACAGCATGAGCACGGAACGAGGGCTGAGGG